ACAGCTTCGTTTTACCCTTTCATCTCTTTCCAGAATCGCACACAACAAAGTGATACAGTTTTCACAATTCAAACCTTCCCTCGCTGCCTCACAATCCTTCATCGAAAGAAACTGTTCCATACAGAAAAATCTCTGAAAATTCCCTCAGAAAGCAACTTCCATTCGAGTGCTTGTTTGCCGTAAGCATGAAAAGGCGGCTCGCGCGCCATTAGTCGCCAGTAGAAATACTAATTGCTCTGATCGGCGGTTCGCACATATTTTCCACGGCGCCGGAGGCGTGTCGGGGCCGAAGGTCCACGCCAGAAGAGAACGAAGATAGCTGAACCTCAAACCAGAATACTAAACCTCTCGTGGAATAGAGTAAAGGAAGAGGGAGGTGGTGGTGGTGGTGGTGGTTAGGGGGCAAAGAGAGGGACACCGTAAAAGAGCAAGAAGGACCGTGGTATTCTCCCCGCTTTGATAGGCTAATGACAAACGCCTAGATTGGCCGGCTTATCAGCCGAGCAGCGCTAATTATTTCCCCTTTGTGCTGAGCCGCGCATAATGGCGACCGCCGCGGGCCAACAGCTTCTCTTTCTCGCGTGATCGCGATATTTCCACGGTGGTGGCGGAGGAGGAGGTGGAGAAGGAGGAAGCGAACGCGCGCGCGCGCGCGCCGTTTTATTTATTGCCAGATCCGCCGGGGAATTCTCCCCCCCTCATCTCTCCTCTCCTCTCCAGTGTTGGCGTCCATTGGACACCGTTTCTCTCTTTGCTGCGTCGTTATCGCGGCCTTTGCCCCCTTCTTCCTCCCTCCTCCTCCTCCTCATCCCGCCCCCGCCGCCTCTTACCGCGGGTCTCATGTGTTTTCGAGGACTTTGCTTTCCCACTGATCGACGATCACGCGGAAACTTGGACGAGATCTGTCGCGTGGATCCTTTGTCTTCGATGATGGATCGCGGCTCTCTGGTGCGGTGGCATTCTTTTTTCTTTGCTCTGTGAAGAGATAAAGTTTCTAGGGTGAGGGATTGGAGAGTAGGTTTTGAATGGAGAGCGATAAAACGGTTGAGAGGAGGTGTTTTTTCATTTTTGCGATGGAGGCGTGAGGAGGATGTTTCCTGTGATTTTTGCTTGTGAAAGTGTATTTGTGAAGTGATTATAATTGTCGGAATGACGAATCCCATTTGTTTCGTGATTTTAAGAATTTTCACGTGAAACAGGATGATTGGGAAAATTGAATTCTCACGGAAAGGATTTTGAAAATTTTGGTGCTCGCATGAACGTTGAGTACTTGCGTAAAAATTAGCATTGAATTAAAAAGTCTATTCTAAAATAATCTAATTATACAGCACAAATTGTTCGTCTTCGCAGATTCTAAATATCAGGTTCTAATAGAGTTGTTCGAAGCAGAATTATGATGTACGTAGCTGGTTAGGTTATAATACAGACGCCATCTTACGATAGAAATCTCATAAGTAATTGATGGATATTCCTCATTGTTCGATGCACTTGGATTTGTGTAATTCTTGCATCTATTTAAACAGCGTTCCGGGCTTAGTCATCGGATATACTTAACGATTGAATAAGAATGAAGCTATTAGTGGATCAACATAACCTTTAACAAATCTGATCTGAAAGATCGATAAAGAACACCGATGCTTAAATTAGCTCGTGGGTTCACCGTATCTATTCCCTCTTATTAATCCTTTACCTAATACAATCCGTATATTAACTAAAAAAAAAAAAAGAATTCTGCTTGAATTTCTACGACGTAAACTGAGTTATCGTAATATCCTATTTATAGTGCTTTTATATAAACTTAAATATTGTGGTTCTGTAGGAAATTTTACGCTATTCTGACTGGTAATAGACAAATTTAAGATATAATAACAGTTTAGATAATATTTACTATTTTTACTGAGGTCTTCATTTCCCATATGTGGCTGATGGTGCTCCTAATATGAGATACTTTATTCGCCTAATATGGAATAGCATAGGAGAGACGTGCAGTACCGGCCAAAGCTAGATCTCGCTTATACTGTTAGTTGACTGCACTGTTGATGGAAAAACAAATGAATACTATAGTCCTGAGCAACGTATTCCGGCGACGTTCTTTTCTCTTCAGTATTACCAGAGTTCTAAGACGTCTAACGTTTACGCTGGTGTTCCGTGCGACAAAAGTTATTTTTCATAGCTGCAATGGTTGGGCTCACGTGGAGTGTACGGATCAAGAAAATATCGATCACTTTACCTGTGATATTTGTAGACGTGCCTAAATAAAAGTTCTATTCTATTTTTAAATGATTCTTACTAACATTATTTATTACTTAGACCTTCAAATCTACCAACTACGTAGCTGGCCGGTACTGTACGACAATTTTTCGTTCGCAGCAAATTGCAACTTTTCTATTTCTACGAATTATTTATCTTTATGAGAAAATTTAAGAAAAACGATTTGTCCCCTTTTATTAAGCACCCTTTGTACTACAAATTACTTTTCTGAAATTTCATTTTTACCAACTTTAGCCCGAGTTATAGTACAAGAACTTAGAATGGCCGGTACTGCACGACTCTCCCCTATTACATCGAATTTACTTTTTCGAAGATGGAATGTAGGATTTAAATAAGTAAGTAACGTGTCTGATAATTATCTTTATTTAAAAAAACACAAAATTTGCTATTCTTTATACAAATTACAAAGAATCGTCTACAATTGCTTCAATCGAAAGATTTGGGCTCTCTTTTAATTGTTTAATAAAACGGAACGAAGTTCCTCTAGGAGTAGAATATTTCTTCTTCAAAAATCCAATTCTTTTACCTATAACCGCTTGTATTGCTTTATACATATCTCCGGTTTTCTATTTCTTTCTAACTTGTACGATAGACGACAGCTAAAGAACAGAAAACACGTTTCACTTTTAGTCATAATGGAATTATGACAATTATTGCTGCTTGAGTTTTCAGAAATATTGTATTAACGAGATAGAAATGAATAATTTCCACGATGGTTATACAAACCCGACCATATTTGAAAGACAATCACGTAGAAATAAAGTTAACGTACTTATCTTGTTACGTGTAATACCAGTCTAGAAATTCCTATGCGAAAACTCGGATCGTGGGTTTCTGTTCGATATTCGTTCGCACGCACGTGCTTCTTTATAATCTCTGCATATGCTCGTTGGTTAAAATAAATAACAAACCCGACCGATTGTATTTACCGCCAATAGATGACAATGCCAGGATTTTTTAATATCGTGACAAGTCACCCTGTTATTTTAATCAAAATTTAAAAAGAATCTGGCATTTTTCTAAAAATTTAACAAGTAACCTATACAGTTACCAGATTCCCGTTTATCACTGAAAAAGGACCACCGAATGAATTGCCATTCTTTCGCAGTCGGAATCATCCTATTTATCACTGAAAATTGACTGGCAAATGGAGTCACGCAGATAAATCGGGATTTTTCCAAATAAAAAAGGAATTCGATGTTAACTAGCTACGTTTAAGGCGAAGAATGGATATCTGTAAGGGGGGGTACTATTCGTCACACGGGCGAAATCGTTGAACGTTTCCGTCGCGGTGTATAAAATAGTGACTGGCCTGTTCTCCATTACGAAAATTCCGCGGCGTAATTACCGCGGTTCCAGGATGGAACGTAGATTTATCGAGACGCCAGCGATGCTGCGTCCATTCCACGATGGAATGTCCTGTGCAATCTTGTTAGCTGCTACCGCGCCATTTGCATTGGCGCGCGCCCGAACTAAAAGCGAACCGATCGTTTTATTCTGTGCGCGAATCGCTCTTAAAGTGTTCGCCATTAAAAACGAAGATTACGCCGCCGTTGAAAACTGCCTACACACGTGATCACCGCCATTTTCTACCTCTCTCCATCGCTTCGAAGATTCTCCAAATCCATTGCTATTTTTATTTATTCGAGATAAAGGAACAAAAGTACCGGAATATTCTTCTCTGTTGTTTCTTCATCTTCGAAAGAGATCTTTAAAAGTGATTCTGTTGTTACGTAATATAATTATGGTAGAGTTTATGGTAGAGGTTAGAAAATTGGAGGCTAACGATGGTAAAATTCGCATTGATTGACATGAAGGAAATCACAGTCGTCGTCGTTGTGGATATAAGAACGACAAAGAAAAGATAGAAGAAAGAAAGACGAGCTTTAGAACGAGTTTACGGTTCGAAGCCGATCAGCGCTGCATGAAGCAACTTGAGCAACGATTATGCCGCTTTGCGAAATAATCTTCTCAATCTGTGACCGCGCTTTCGGAATGCGAAACGAGCATGATAAACTCCGACTAGAATTCGTGCCTCTTCTGTCCTGCTTTCCTCTTTCTCTTAGCGGTTTCTCCCTTCCTACGAAACGCCTTGCTTTTCAATCGTGAGCCACGATGCACAATATATCAGTCAAGAATACAGGTTACAATGAAAATGAGATTAATCGAGAGAAATTGGTAAACAGGAATCGAAGGAAATTTTTAATCGTTCGTCTGATATATTGGTCGTGGATCGATGTTACAGTAAATTCAATGGAAAATTGGGTAACACTGGCTGCAAATATGAGAGATAGGTAACTGAATAAATTTTCAAAAATTTGTCACGATTTATGTACATCTGAACTAACCAATTCGTCATTTATACCCAAAATTGTGCCACATTTTATCGATTAAAATTGTTTATCACAGATAACTACTCGTCACAAAATTCACTACGATCGCAAAATTTCTTTTAACAATACCAAACAAATTTCCACACATTTCTCCAACGTCTAAGCTAACTCCAGCAGTGTTTCCAACATAGACATTCAACACACGTATACAAGCAACTCTCGTACAAGACGCTTGTCTCTTGCAGCCAGTCGATTTCTTGAAAAGACATTTTTACAAGAGCTAGAATGAAAGAAAGGAAGAGAGAGAGAGAGAGAGAGAGAGAGAGAAACGATTGCGAGCACGAGCTCTACCGTGAAACAGTCTGTCCCAATGTACGGTCCCTGTTGCTGTTTCAGACGATATTGAACTCGATGCACAAGTACCAGCCGAGGTTTCACCTGGTGCGAGCCAACGACATCTTGAAGCTTCCCTACTCGACGTTCAGGAGTTACGTTTTCAAGGAGACGGAATTCATCGCGGTGACCGCCTATCAGAACGAGAAGGTGAGTGAACGTCTGCTTCCTATTTCCGGAACTGTGACTGACCCGACCACGTCGCCGGTCGATCGCCAGTCTGTGTGTTCAACGACTATGGTAACTTCCTAGAGGAAACTCGTTAGTCCAGGTTGCATTCTGGGATGATTTCAGAGTCTGATCGACTTCTGTCTTTTGTCGATGAGTTTTTTGTTCGAAGGGGGCCGATCTGTATTTTACAATGAAAGGAAAAGTTTTCTCTAGATGGAAATTCTCTGTCTGGGAATTTCTCCGGCTTTGTAGGGAATGTTTGTTGGTACCCGTGGGTTTCGTGAATGAAGTTTTCTTCGAAAGAAATTTATCGGAGAGGGAGTATGTGTTTTTTTTCTCACTTTACAAATGAAAATTCTCGTCTGGGGATTTTTCTGGTTTTGCAGGGAATTTTCGTTGGTACCCCTATGTTTCGTGAATGAAATTTTCTTCGAAAGAAATTTATCTGAGAGGGAGTGTTTTTTCCCTTAATTTTCCGATGAAAATTCTCTGGTTTCGTAGGAAATTTGTTTTTGGTACCCATAGGTTCGGTGAATGAAGAAGAAGAAATTTATTGGAAAGGAAGTGTGTATTCTTGTTTTTGTTTGAGATAGTATGTGCATATTGAAGGGCGAATAATTGCAAGGATGCTCGTGTTAATTAATGTTTAGTTCCTCTATTCGCGTGCACAAGGTGATGGAGTGTAACAACGTTATCTATTCCTTCATTGAAATGTTATTATCGAGTATCACCCACGGTGCATATTAATTATCGAAGTTTAGAACCGGCCGTGTGGCCGGGTATCGAATTAATTAAATTAATTAAAGAAAATGTTGTAATTAACGGGCGGAGTGCAGCCGGCCCCGGCCGGTTTAATTAACAAGCCACCGCGTCGTTTGTTCGCGAAATTACGGGCGAAAAACAAAGCGAGGAATCCCACAGGCGAATTCGAGGGGGGCTAAATCAGTTAGAAAGGATATCCTCGTTACGAATTATTCCGTGATCTTTACGTGATCTCCAGAAATTTTGTCTCGTTATTCGATCATTAACTGTTTTAACGAGAAATTTTCATGGACCTCGATATCACCCCCTAGAAATGAAGATTGAAAATCACCGAGAATCTCAAATCCACCCTTTTCAAATTAGTTCAGTGCTGATTAATCCCACTTTCCTCCCTCGTGAATTAAATTTCAATTTTCGCTCCTCGTCATCGTACGAAAATACTAAATACATTACTTAGATATGTGTGTGCTCCAGAAATTCTGTTCGCGGTAATAGATAATATTTCATCGATTATTCTCCTAAAAATTGTCCCAAAATTCCTATTCTCAAGAATGTCTAAAGCACTCCTTACAAATAAAAGTCGAAGATTATTCAGGGAGAAGAATAAGATAGTTGTAATTGACTTTTCATCCCTCGAATAGTGAGTACATTTTTGAAAATAAAAATATATAAAATTCGGGAGAAGGTGGAGAGAGAAGTTCGAGAAGGGGCGAATGGATATTTTTTTCCGTTCATCTTTCGCCTAATTAAAATCCCCTTCGGCGCGTACGGTAGCGAGAGGGTTCCCGGAAGCACAGTGTTTCCCGGTACGCATTATCCTCGAGGTGGCACGGGCGCAAAATGGGCCCCTTGTCCGGATTTTTCGTCGCGAGAGTCCTCCCTTCGTCGTTATCGCCGCTGCTTCCCGGTATCTCCTGCGGCCGGAAGAAAGATATCGCCTATGTCGATCTTTTCGAGCGGCCTGGCCCTCCTTGCGTTTCTTGAAACCCGTCTGATCCGCTCGCGGCTGTATCGTACCGCCGATTCCTCGTAACTTTCGACCGTTTGATTATGAAAAAATATCTCGTGGGAAGAGAAATTGTGGAAGAACGAAATCGTGGATTTTCATTGGATTTATGACAGATTTGTTGCAAATGGAAGTCACAGGGATTAGTTTTGTCTTGAGCTGAACAAATTTGTTCGTATTGTATATTAGGAATTATTGAGATTTCAAAATATAGATCTGTTTGGAGTTTTATTTTTTTCTTCAGATGGATCAATTTTTTCACATTAGATACATATTTGATAAAGATAGAAAATGAAGTGTGTAATTATACCTACTTGAATTTTTTTGAAATATTTTTACTGTATATTTGTAATAAATTCTCGAGCATTAAAATAACAACGTCCATTGTGAAGTATAATAACAGCTTCGAAATAATCATTTATCTGTCACTGGAAGAATGTTCAATTAATTATTTTCAGTAGCTATAAACATCGTGAGTTTGTATTCATCAAAATTCCTTTCTGTTGCAGATCACCCAGCTGAAGATCGATAACAACCCGTTCGCGAAGGGATTTCGGGACACTGGTGCGGGGAAGCGCGAGAAAAAGTGAGTATCGCTTTCAAAACTTCTGAAAATCCATATATAAAAAAAGAAACCTACCTTTCCCACCAAAAAAATCATCCTTTAAACTAACCAATATCACATTAATTCAAGCCTTTCTTCAAACCTCCCAAAATTCTTCATAATCCTCAGAAGAAGACAAAACTAAAAATGCCCTCATCAAGAAACAAATAAAAATCCCATAAAACAACCATACGAAGGATCAATTCACCCCTTCCGCCTGATCGAAAAGGCCCGTGGAACAAAAAGCAATTGCTGTCTTCTAGATAGATCTAATTGATCGTCGAGCTTCTATCCCCTCGAACCACGCTATTAAGGTTCAGCCCCCAGGGTCCAGGAAAGGGAGGGATTGGTTTCACGTGGCTCATTTGCACCCCGGTATCGTCCATTTGTATTCAATATCGCGGCTTTACGAGCTTATATAGGCGAAGGGTCATGGGTCCCAGCACCCGTTTCAATTTCGTCCCGACTACTCGAACGGGATTCCGAACGAGTTTAAATCGCTTCATGCATATACGCCTCGTGTCAGGCTTGTTAACATCGCGTAATCCCCGCTCCAAGGGAAAGCCAGGACTAAGCTCCGGCAATTTGTCGCCGTTCAGGTGCGATGACGGAAGACGACGGTCCAAGGTAGGGTGGAAAGGGTTGCTGAAAGGGTGATACCCGTCATTAGTAGTTCTCAGTGTGCATTTTATGTGGTTCCAGAGGAGAATAGCTTCGATTCTTTGTTAAGTGGAATTTTAGGGTGATTTAGGGATAAATTGTATTAAGGGGATATTAAATGGAAATTTGTGTTCTCATAGTGTTGACTGGAAGAGAGCAAGTGGTTAATCTTTGGTGAATTTTGTGGTTGGAGTTTTTTGAGTTATGAGATCGGTGAAGTAGTTTTTGAGTGATTTAGTGGGATTTTTGGGTAGGTTTTGGGTATAAGGTAGTTTCTCATTTTTTCGTTGTTCACTTAACAGATTGTTAACTATGTAGGTAGGTAGGCATACCTAACCATTTTCTATTGTAACGTTCATATTAATCCTTTCGTAACCGAATTATTTTGTTAAAGAATTTTTGTTCGAGTACTCAAGTGGGATATGTGCGTCCCAACTAGTCATGAAAGCGCTAAGGAAAGTTTCGTTCCCATGTTTCATTCTATAAATTTTACTTTCAACGCTATTGAATAAGTATGACAAACTGCATTTGTAAAATTCATACCACTAATTTTTAACGCACAGAATTCCTTAGAATTTTTTCAATTGACAACGTGTCAAGAAGCGTTCTAATCAAATTGAACAGAATCACCGAACAGACGATACCTTTCCGTCCACAACTTGGAACAATAAATTCCTCGGAATAAAATCTTACAAATCCCAAATTCGCTTCCAACAAAAGTATCCCACCTTAAAATCCCTCTATCTTAATTTTATCACTTCTTCGTCACAAACCACTTTCCCCAAGAAAATAATTAACCGTAAAGAACCATTGAACTTTGTGGCACTTTCCCGAACCGTAAAATTTACTCTATCGGTTAGGAGGGTGAACAGTTCCTTAGATAAATGCCCCTGAGGCGGGTTGAAGGGGGGAGGGGGACGCAATGGTGGTGTTGGAAAAAGCAGGGGGTCGAGAAAATTCCGCGGAAATTGAAGCGACTGCCGACGGCCGGCCGGATAAAGATAGGGCGAGGTTAATCGAGAAAATATGCAAAGCAGGGGGCGCGTCGTGGCGCCGCCTAATTAGAATAAGGGTTAGTTTTGGCTTATGGTTTCGGTTAAGGGTGGCCGGATCCCATCAGGAAGCCGCAGAGAACTACGAGATGGAGAGTCGTATGGTAAAGAGAGAGAGAGAGAGAGAGAGAGGGAGAGAGTGAACGGGGTTGGAACATAGCCAATCATCGGATTAGCATACTGATGCTCAGGGGCGGCGCTGTCGTTAGCGTGGAGGGTGCCACTTGGTGGCTTTGAATTTTATATCGTCGCTACAGCCAGTAACCGGCGTATAAAGGCTGGTTTCGTGGTGGGGAGAACACTTCCGGCGACGCAGGGACTCTCCTACCTTTTCTCCTTTTTTTTTTTTTTATTCTGCTTGCGAATTTCTGTTTTTAATCCAACCTGTAAAAAGTTGCGGAAGAATTTTCTTTTCGTTGATTTGTTGGATAGCGTCGAGTACTTATCTTTGACACTAATAGAATCTTTGGTCTGAAGAATCTAAGAGAAGTAACAGTAGCAATATTTTCCCCTTTTACTTTTCTCATTTTCTCCTTTCCTTCGTTGGTCCACGGATGGTAAATATTAAAGTTTATAGTCTCAGACTTATATTTTAACTCTAGTGCGGTCTTCGTGTCTTTTTCGACACATCGACTTCTTATTTCTTTAGTAACTTCTGCTGTTATCCAGATTATGTTCCCTTAACGTTATATTAAAAGTTCATTGTCGACGTTCAAATGGCGTGCTGGTAATAAAAATTGTTACAGATAAGACCTTTGGGTTTGCTTTTTACCCAAAAGCCTTAAGCGTATAGCTGAACGGAAGAACGCACTAGGGTTAAGTTACAGAATCGCTGTCATAAATCTACGCTGTTTCGATATTCACTGCAAAAAAACAAGGTGGCAATTAGGGCACTTCGAGTATCTAATTAATGCAATAAACGGTGTCACTGGAAATACCTATTATAAATCTCGCAGGGCAAAAAATTTCGGAATTCGAAGGAACGAATCCAAAGTGGTTAATTGAGAATCACGAGGAAACGCGGGACGCGATTAAGATCACCCAGAAACGAGTCGATTAACTTAATCAACCCGTTTCTCCAAACGAAAAAACCAACGATGACGCGGTGGATCTTGAATATAATCGCTGACGGCGAGTTCCGACGCATTATTTCGTTAAGTTTTTAACCAAGCGAGAGGCAGCAAGTGGTGGTCACGAGACAGCTAGCGTAGCGGCAATCGAGCGTATCGAGTCGATTCGTCATGCTGGTTAAAAAGAAATATTTTTCTCGGTTGGAAAAAAGCCACGTAGGAGAAGGGAAGGAAAGAAGAAAAAAGGAAAAAAGAGCACGAGCAGGGTCCGGCTCGTTGTCACGTCATTTATCAAGCAACGCGCCGGAACGATCGTATCATGGCGCGCGAAGAATCAATCTGTCCGCGGCCAGATTTCCACGCTTGTTTCTCCTGCTCGTTATTAATCGCCACGCCTCACCATTTGTTGCTGTTTACGTGACATTATATCGACAAGTGGCTTGGTGTACGAGTCAATTCCTAATCCTTTTTGATCAGATTACAGGAATTACGGTTAAAATGTTATAAATGTGATTTGTATTTGTGATAATGAGAGGTATTTATGAATCGAAGATGGAATTGAGAGTTGCTTAGATTTATGAGAGATTTATTCAGGGCGTAGGATATGAAAGTTTGTGAGATCTATGAAAAGTGTAAAGCTCAACTTTCTTGAAAAGAGAATTGAAGAGTCCGGGGGAAAAAGGATGGGGGTCCGTTGTATTTTGCTATTGTAGAATTCAGTTTTGTATTTAGAAATGGAAAAAGGGCGAAAATTCCAAGTTACTACAATTTAAACAATACATGGGACAAAGGTGACAGTATCGGCGAAGGTTGTATGGAAAAAGGATGAGAGCGTGCATTGAATGCATTTTTGAAGTGTTAATTGATTCAAGAATTTCTGGAGAATCGGTGTAGATCTGCAATGTTTAAAATTCGTTTCACCCCAGATAGCATTAAATGAATTGCTTCAATTGCTTGGATTTATGAAACTTTCCAGGTTCTATGAAAGTCTCTGATCATGTCAAGTTGAACTTTCTCAAAAATCACGCTCGATCTCTTCCTAATTATTTAACCAAGCCAAGTATAGAATTGTTCAGAATGATATGATCAGATGGGCGAGTATCAGCGTTACATGAAGTAAAATCAGCGCGTACAAAGGCCTCTGGCTTTGACAAGCGACGATCAGTAGCTAGTGTCATCCCACCCCATAGATAGAGAGAAGGAGAGAGCGATCTTGTCATCGTGGAGGATTTATAATCACCTCTCTCGATGGTTGCTTGAAACCACCACGGGGCCCTCGTGTGGCAAACGTGCGACGAGCCCCCGGCCGCGTTTTTGTGTTTCCACCACCACCCCATGGTGTTGCGCGCGGCTCTCGATGCGCACACCCCGCGATTCCCTATGAAATTCTCTGGCGGTGCTCGATGATTCCCGGCGAACCGTCTTAATGGATCGTTGACGGTGAAACAACGTCTTTCTGACTACTGCGTTCGCCACGATTAATACACGTACATGCACGCACATGTGTACACACACGTTCGCACCAGGATTCGAAAAGGGGGTGAAAAGCAGCGAACGTTGACTGCGGGTGATTATTTTCTATCTCTTGAAAAAATACGAAGGGCGGCACCTCGAGTGGCGTTTTCAGGCAGGATGATTCTGAATGTATGCTGACGCGTTCTGGAATTTAATTTTTTCATCGTTTGTTTAGGAAGTACGAAAGTATGATTAGTGAAGTACGAAAGGGGTGTCGTGAAAATGAAAGAAGTTTGTGGATGTTTGGGACACTTCTCGTGGATTCTTTTGTATTTGGCCTCGTGAGAATTTAAGGTTATCTAATTGGAACAGAGGAGTGTTCTGAGGTTCTCGGAGAAATATTTTACGATCAAAATTCAAGGGAACATTTGAAATTTTTTGTTTCGAAGAAATATTCGAACATTTTCTAAATCATAGAGAAATATCTTCAGTCTGTAGTTAATCACAGATCCTCTCGAAATTCGAACTAACTTTTACACATTACCTCAACACCGATACAACGCCCCAATTTTCCAAAATAGAAAGAAACAACTTCCAGTCTATAAAATGGCATAGTTCGTCAATGAACTGTGCTACAACCACGGTGAAAGTTGCGAAGAAATGCAAGGTATTCCAGGAAAAGTGCAACAAGGCTGGCAATGACGGCTGACAAAGGCTATAGACACGTGATCGATCATAGATCAAAGAGATCCACTCCCACTCCTATTGGTAGGACGCAGCGATCAGCGCGGCCGATAATTCAGTGCGGCGACTTTTGAAATGGCTCAATTACGGCGGCGCGGCGCGATGGATTTCCGCGGGATGCATAATTCATCGTGGAAAGTCGAGAACCGGGCACAATTTGCCGAAACGGGCAGCCATCACGGATATCGGGCGGAATCGCGATCGATATTACCCGTGCTCGCGTGATTATCTAGAGAAATTGCCGCAAGAAAGCGATCCGCACGCTGGCTTTTTACGCTTTCAGAACGATTGGAGATCGATTCTTGCTACCTCGATCCACGACCTACGTTTCCAGAATTAATGCCCGTTCCCCGGGAAAATCCAGTTTTCGCTGATGTCTCTATCGATCATCGCCATTCCACGTGTTTTAAGTCGATTATTTTTGTCATTTATCCGGAGTAGATTCAATTATACCTTCCAGTTGTTCTTCGTCTAGTTTCTTCGTTGCAAATTTTCTTGGAGATTCTTTAGAAGTATCGAAGTATTCTTGGAAAGCGAAAAATTCTCAAGGTAAATTGTACTTTATAGTTTGATCAGTCGCAGCCTTGATTGCTTTCACTTGTTAGTCGAGGCTTCCGAGTTTGAGCGAATTAATTTTGGTTTCTGCCAATTTTTATGTGAATCGTACGAGTCTTCAGTTGAAATGAAACGGTAAAATAGGATGGCATATAGGGAACAAAAATTCGATACTGAAATTTCGTTTAAAATTTTTCGCGCGCGAAAAGTATGAATGAGAAATCACGCTAATTGTCCAGTTGATAAAAGATGTCTTCGAATCCAGTTCGTGTTACCTCTTAAGTGAGGATAATGGTTCCCTGAGATAGAAGGGAGTACATATTCTCTGGTAAGATAAGAATGTTCAAATCGCGAACAAGTGTCGTGAACCGGTTCGAAACTGGAACAGTCGCGTGCACGACAAAAGCACGCCTAGTGAATCCAATTACAAGCTTCATTCTACACGCGGCTGTACAAATAGCGAGATTGGTCGTGGAAGCAAGGATTTCGCGGATAATCGTGCGATTTGACAACAGTCGAATGGCCATACTTACTCAGAAATCAGGATTGGAGCTATACATCACCTTTGACATACAAAGTTATCTTCAAATCCTCCCGATATTTTCTAGATGCTCTTATGCAAAGAAGTCTTTAGAAATCTGAGAAGACTTCTATCTAACCCTTCACTTCTCGATTTGTCGAGAGCAAAAGTATAGTTGATTGCAACATCCACAAATTTTGGACAAAACATACTTCATTGTACCACACTGTACGCAAAAACGAGCCATGAAAAGCTTTACATACAACTGTAATGGTCCATCCTGTGTGCATACTGTACCTAATACCCCACACAATGTCCCAAATCTCAAAGTGAAACGAAAATACCGAAAATCTAGATCCTAATGAAAAGATCATCGAATCACTATGAGACTGTCGAATCTGTCAAGGGAGACGGGGGCAAACAGAGGAGCTCACTTACCAAATCCCCGTATCGTCCACGCAAACTATTGATTTTAACGTGCTCTCGCACTTAAGCGCATCAGAAACCGGAGAACCGTAGCGTAACACCCTTTCCAAGCTCACGGATTCATCCGTGCACCGACGACGCATTCGTATCCTCCGCCATGTCTCTCTGTCTGTCTCCCTCTATCGTATGCCCCACGAGCTGTACACCTCTCTCTGTTTCACCTCGTCGTCGTTTTGCCAGGGCTGTGTCGGTGCATTGATCGCATTACACGGCATTAAGGTACCGGTAAGCCTCTCGTTACATGCGGCTTTCAAGCGGCTCTAGCCGAGTCTTACATGATACGTGGCCTCGCTTGGCGCGTTCGTTGAAATTCGCTAATTTACACCTCGATCTGCCGCGCCACGCGAATCGTCGCTGCCGCGAGACGAATCCATTGATGTTGAAATATTAATGCGCCGACACGGTGGATCTTCTTTTGCAAATGAAGAAGCAGAATAGTGAAGATCTGCGAGTCGTGCCGGTTCAAACGTTGGAATTGAAGGTAGATTGATTCTTCTTCATGTTTGAAGAGATGTGAGTGATTAGGCTTGAACGTGGTGACGTTATTGAATTTGGTGGAAAGTTTTTCGTGAGGTTTTAGAACATTTGGTTCGGTGAGATTCTGCAGTGCCTTTTTTCTGAATTTTGTTGGGATTTGATTGCTTAGGAATGATGGATTCTAGTTAGGATTGAGTACAATGGAGCATGTTAGAGTTTCGGTGTGAATTTTTTGGGCAGTCAAACTCGGAAATTGTCCAGTCGTGTCGGTTTTAGGAGTGAGACAGGTAGTTCACTGATTTCTCTGATTTCCATTATTTGAGAACAATACTTTTTTTGTTATGAGTAAGAATTGTGATAGAAGTGGCGTTTCGATTTTTGAGAACAATTGTCTCGGAAACCTTCAATTACAGTAGATTTACAGTAGACTTTTTGCACAGATTTCCGAGACCAGCTGCCCTAGAGAGTCGTGAAAATTCCAGTCACGTCGGTTCGGTAATTGAGATTTGGAATGGTCGCGTAGATAGATCGATTTGAGTGTCGACGAGTGGTGGTTTTTGGGACAAATTGGTTTTCAAACCGAAATCGCGAAGTTTCTTACGGCAAATTGGTTTGAAAATTGGATTCGTCAGGCTTTTACGAAGGAAATTGCTTCGAAAATTGAAACGTGTCGTTGTTTTAGAGCAAATTGCTTGGAATATCGCAATAAATCAAAACTGTCGAACAACCTAACCAAACGAAATACAAAAATAAATAAAATATGACGATTAATCGTGAAATAATTCTAATACTGTCTAATTAATCAAAAATTTGGCCTTCCAAAATTTCATTCACTCTACTTCCCCGTTATAGCTATGCTAATTAGTTTTATAGAGCTATGCGTTTCCAGAGCATCGAACCCTATATGTTTCGCCCAAAATTCGAACATAGAAGTATTTAATCACGAATCACACGGTGTCAGCTCGATATAACCAATCTAGTGACACGTCACATGCATCATAAACGATCGATACGTATTTTAGACACACACTTGCCAAGCGACAGCCATACAAATGTCAACGTGTCGCTGCTAAAACGCCTGTAATTTGCCCGAGGTGCGAAACGGGTCGATTAGAGGGTCAGTTTCAAAGGATGCGGGCTTTCTACTTGCCAATTATTAGATTTCACGTACACGACCAATAATTTGAAACCTTTCAAGCTAAACATTCTTGCAAAAATATATATCCAGCGCCAATGAAACAAACTACTTGAAAAATAGGTTTTACTTTTGGTAATGTTATTATTTGATAATGAATATTTGAATTCAACTAAACTAAACAGCTTCAAAGCTACAATTTTGATTAGGAACGATTGCGAATGAGGAACCACAGATATTTTCTCATAAGTCAGAATGTGTCAACCCCGCATGCACCCATGTTCCAATAAAACAAGAATACCACCAAATGATTACTAAAAAGATCGTCAAGCTGATCAAGCATAACACCCATCCCTATCACATTGCTAACTCTGCGTCGTTGTTGCAGAAGGCAGGCGCTGTTGACAGTGTCAGGAGGCGGTTCTCGTCTGACAGCAGGTGGTCCAGCATCTCCTGAGAAGCGTCGCTCCTCGAACTCCGTCAACGACCTCCTGGACGACGATGACAAGCTGCTGGACGTCGTGGGACCGGACACCCCTCACCCAGCTCATCATCAGCGCGAACGCGAACACTCTCGCGAGAGGGACGATAGAACGAGCGAGAGAGGCGAGGGTAGCGAGTCCTCTGGTTCAGAGAGCGGTGGAGGAGCTGGTCCAACGGGCTCAGAGGGTCCCAGACCTGACGTGTCTGTAGGCCCGCCGCTTCATCCGCCCCTGCTACCATACCTCTACCCCCCGGTACCAGGTCTCTACCCAGGTCCAGGCCCTCTGATACCACCCAGTCCCCTGGGTATCCATGGTGGAGTGACACCAGGCATGCTGTTCAACGCTCAACTAGCTCTAGCAGCGTCTCAGCACCCTGCCCTGTTCGCACACTACCCCCATCCCTTGGCCAGTCCCTTGCACCAGCTGAAAGGACATCGATTCGCACCGTACACTCTACCCGCTCCATCC